AATTTAAATAAGTTCTCCAATGCAGTGTAAAACTACCAGCAATTTTTGCAAAATGACAAAAAAAAATCTCCTCCTCAGGAGATACGTAGTAACAAAATCAGTCTCAGATATTACATTCACCTTAAGTTACCCATATTTTAATCACTTATGTATTCCCTTATAGCACTAGTTTTAACTTTGTACTTGCACTTCTACAGTTTAACATAAGAAAACGAGTACTAAAGATAATTCAATTCACAGACTCATTTTGGTGGCTCTCATTTACTACCGGCAGAGAACATTCCCGTGGAGGAGGTTATATAAGAAACTAATATTATGGGCTGAACTATGCAGAAATGAAATATAACATCAGGTGTCCATAGCAGACACACGGTATATTCAGAAGAATTTACAAGGCTGCAACTGAAATCGTCAGCCATTGCTTGAGAAGACAACAATTGTTATATAGCTTTGAAGTTACAGATCTGTATAAGCATGAAAACTACACTTGCAGAATCACATCAAGATCTTTACAGACTTTTAAAGCACATCTAAGCTTGAATTTTGATATTCCATAAATGACAGACACAGCAATATATGTTTGATCTAGTCAAACATTTTTAATACCACCTCTCTGTTTTCTATTTCTACTCTTATATTATGGACAGGATGGCAGCAGAAGGCAATCACAGCAGCCTTGGAACTAGAGGTGAAGGGAGGGACGTGGGCAGCGAGTACTGAAACACTGCCAAAAGGAAAGGAGGGTTTACAGCAAACAGAACACAAAATGAGATTCCCAAACCACATCTCTAAGAGGTGGAAAAACAAACCAAACAAAAAACCGTAAGACAAGAAAAAGGCAGCCCACAGGATATGTTTAACAGGAGCATGAGAAACTCCCTGGCCACCCTGAAGGTTGCTGAGAGAGGCAAGCAAAATCACAAGGCGAGCCAAGAGTCTGTTTTCAAGAAGCTAGCAGAGTCTCAAAGCTATCTCTACATTAAACAGTGGTGAAAGTAGTTTTTAGAGAGAAATTAGTAGGCAGCTCAGGTGCTATGGCCTCATGCATCAGTGAAAGCATCACATGTGCTAAATTTCCATCTTCTTCTAGCCTTGAATGCTTTCAGGGAGGGGGCATTCACAACCTCACTGGGCAACCTGTTCCAGCATCTCACCTCTCTCACAGTAAAGAATTTCTTCCTAAAATCTAAATCTAATCTAAATGTACCCTCTTCCAGTTTAAAGCCATTTCCCCTCATCCTGTCACTACACGCTCTTATAAAAAGTCCCTCCCCACCTTTCCTGTAGGTCCCTTCAGGTACTGGAAGGCCACTATCAGGTCTCCTGGGAGCCTTCTCTTCACCAGGCTGAAGAGCTCCACCTCTCTCAGCCTGTCCTCATAGGGGAGGTGCTTCCACCTTCAGATCATCTTCATGGTTCTCTCGCGCTGGATTGTTGCGATGATACCACACATCACAGAAACTTTTTTTTTTTTTTGCCTCCTAAATTGACTTCTATAACAGACTGGGTATGGATTTAATACAAAATCCAAAGGTCAGACTACACAGTGCCATGGGTACCACACATCTTGGGGAGAAGTCAATCAGCAAGGATTAATTAAATACGCAGAGGAAGGAACTTTTGCCAAGCAGAGATGCCGCTTCCACATTCACTTCTCAGATAAGAAAAATCTTTGAAATCAACATGAAGATTTAACAACCTGAGCAACCAAACATATTAAACACAGGGATGATAAATCAGTGCACGTAAGCAAACTTGGCAATGTTATGTCTTCCTACATTAAAAGCCAGTACTGACTTTATTTATTATTTTGTTATTTTGTTATTATTTATTATATTGTTATTATTTATTATTTTGTTAAATCAAGAAGTAATAGGCAATATCCAGACTTTAACAGAACCTCTAGTCTGATCAGCTATATAAAGCTGATTCTAATAAGCCATAAGATTAAGCAAAAGGGAATATTAAAAATAATAGCAACTAGTGGAAGAAAAATAGGCCAAATTAGTCTTTGGCATTAAACTTAAAAATTTGGGTAGACAGTTGAAGACATTGGTGTTTTCTGATACAACCTATAATCTCATGGGACATTAACAGCAGAACTCTCAATATACACATAAAGCATTCCAGTGCTTTCAGTGCTTCCATTTTCAAAGGAAATTAAAAATTTCCATCATTACACCCACTTGACTATAGTAAATCTAAGCCTGGCTTCTAATCCCAGTAAGACAATAGACTATAATAAAGTATATTATTAATCAATTGGATGAATAAAGCCTGCAAGGGAAAAGCAAGCACAGCTCCCATGAAGGAACAGCTTGCTCAAGTTTCATGAGGACATCCATGCACAGATGAGTACATAATTGTGCAAAGGCTAAGAAATAGCTCCGTTCCAGGGACAGGGGGGAGGAGAAGTCCTTTTAGAGACTGGTAGCCAGGTAAAGGACACAAAGGGGAAAGTCTTAACAGTCAGTTTCCAGAAGAAAGAGAAGTTATATAAAAGTTTCCAGGGATCACTGGCAACTAGCTTTACTCAACATCTTTATCAGTGTTCAACAAAACAGAAATCACAATGAAACCCCATGGGTTTTTTTAGATGAAACTGAGCTTTCTTTACATAACTCCATCCCCTGCTATAAATCTGTATTGAGAAGTAATGTCACAGAATCCACCTAAGAGAGACATGGAAAAAGCCATACAGAAAATCTTTGATTAACAGGAGAGAATGAATCTTTTCTGTTACTTTCCTCAGCAAGATGTTGGAAAGATGTTGGCCAACCAAATCTTTCCAGACTTCTATAATGGCACAAAATCTGCAGCAAGGCATCACCCCATCATGCCACAGATATTCTTTGGCAAAAACCTATGGCCATGCAACACTGTGTCATCTGTGCTCCTAGGACACATTCTGGATGGACATGCTCTGCTCAGCACCTCAGCCCCACGCTGTAAGGACCAAGACAAGGCCACAAAGCATGTCAGAGAAGTAACACAAGTCTGTGACCCCGTGTCCAGGGCAGATCATGCTGCCTCCCCCCACACACTGATGAAATTAGACACTGCACATCAATATCAATCTTCAGCACTTCGCACATCCAAAAGCTGCAATGCTGTATATATAATAAGTATTTAACAATACACATAATAATAATACAAACTGGGACAGAACTGCTTTCTTCAGAGTGTCTGGTACGATATCATGCTTTAGTTCTAGGAGAAAAACAATGCTGATAACACACTGATGTTTATAATTGTTGCTAAGCAGAGCTGATGAGTGCCATGGCCATTTGCAGCGAAGGGCTCAAGGAGCTGGGAGGGAAAAGAATTAGAACAGCTGACTTAAACTGGCCAAAGGGTTATTCCATACCATATGACATCACATGGAAAGAGTTTTGAAGGGGTGGGAGATCACCTTGCTCTCTTCTACTGCTCAGGGGGTCAGCTAGGCATCGTTTGAGGGTGGTAAGCAATTACTTGTGCACCACTTGTTAAATACACTTATATATATATATATATATTAATATATACACACACACATATATATACATACATATTTATATTATATTTATTTTATTTTTTAAATGTTTTAAAATATATATTTTATTTATATATATATATATATATATATATATATATATATATAGCATCATAACTATTACCTTTTTCCTTTTCTCTACCTTAGTAGGTAGTTTTGTCTCAACCCATGAGTTCTACTTTGGCTTTTTTTGGTTATTCTCTCCCCAGTCCCACTGGGAAGGGGAGGGAAGGAGTGAATGATTGTGTGGTGCTCAGCCACCTACCGAGTTAAGCCACAACAGAGACAAAAGTCAGCATGGAATTACTCTTCATAGTATAAGGATTGTATTGTATGAGATTGATAAATGCTAAATCATTTTCAAGAGAAAGAAACATTACTGTTTTGGGTTTTGTTTTTTTTTAAATCATGTTCCTGTACTGCCACCTAAAGATCAGAATAAAAAGTAGAAGTTGTACCCAAGATGAGTTACCTGCAAGGATCATAGAATGGCCTGGGTTGAAAAGGACCACAATGATCATCGAGTTCCAATCCCCCTGCTGTGTGCAGGGTCACCAACCACCAGACCAGGCTGCCCAGAGCCACATCCAGCCTGGCCTTGAATGCCTCCAGGGATGGGGCATCCACAACCTCCTTGGGCAACCTGTTCCAGTGTGTCACCACCCTCTGTGTGAACAATTTCCTCCTGATATCTAACCTAAACCTCCCCTGACTCAGTTTAAAACCATTCCCCCTTGTCCTATCACTATCCACTCTCGTAAACAGCCGTTCCCCCTCCTGTTTATAAGCTCCTTTCAAGTACTGGAAGGCTGCAATTGGAGCCTTCTCTTCTACAAGCTAAACAAGCCCAGTTCCCTCAACCTTTCCTTGCAGGAAAGAAGCAATTAACTACTTTTTTCATACCTAGCTTTCATAAGATCTCACTGCTTATTAAATGCAAACCAGACCCATGAAACACTTCAATTCTACTTCACACTTCAGCAGGTATAATCGTTTCTCTAACTTCCATATGTTTAAAAAAAAAAAAAAACTTAAAAGGACCACCTACGTGTGGATGTATGTATCAGTAACTGAGTAAGAAGCCTTTTTCTGTTCTTAATGCGCTGAGCTCAGATGCCAGCGTGCCCGAGAGCACGCGAGCAAGTGATTCTCTGGGAGAAGGGGGCAGCTGAGATGTACCGTAAGGACGGGAAGCGATGTTCTGGGAACGCGTAAGCATGACGAGAACCAAACACTTATTAAAACAAAAAGACTACCGAGGTTAAATTCCTTCTTTCCTTTCTAAAATCCTCCTCTGACCCAGCTAAGGACCCGTGGGAAGAACACTTACACACACCCGCCCCGTGCCCCCACTGCAGGCGGTACCGACGCACGCGACCCGCACGCACGCGACTCCTCCGTCCCGCCCCCATTAAGGCGGGACAGCACACGATGGCGATGCCGCGTTCCCGCTCCCGTTCCGTACCTCTGGAAGCATTGCTCGCACACGCCGCCCAGCTGCTCCTTGGTCACCACGTAGGCGAAGGGTTCGGCTCGGTAAAGCAGCTCTCCGGGCCGCACCCGCCGGCGGGAGCGGAGTCCGCTGCCCTTGCCCGGGCTGAGAAAGCGCTCCAGTGCAGCCAGCTCCATCCCGCCGCCGCGCCGCCACCGAGAGGAGGGGGATCCTGCCCCCACCACGTGACCCGGCGCTGCCGCCGCCATCTTAAGTGAGGGCAGGGGCGCCCTATGGCCGCTTCCTCGTCGGTCTGCTGACGTTGGCAGCACGAGGTTCTGAGGAGCCCTGGGGGACAGCGGGCAGCGCTTTCTCTGGGTCGATGTAGCTTTCGTTCATTTAAGAGTTCACCTGCGCTACATGACGCAGGTGAAATGCGCTGAATAGAAGCTTCATCTGCTCTTCCTCGTTGTGCCTATAGAGGGAGTGAGTGCTTCTGTTTTGGAAAGGAGTGACTCGCCAAAGAACTCTTGAGAAATAGGCCTAGCAGTTTTGCTTTTCAATTCTAAAATGCACTCTTTGCTTCTCAGTAACAGTTGTTTTACTCTGCAGATGTTTTAATTCAAGCTACAGCGGGGTGCTCAGAGGTGATAGCATGCACAAAATACTGCTACTGTGAAGAACCACAGTAGATCAAAACACAGGATTGCCACAGAAAAACGTATCTATTCAGACTAATACACTTAAATGCTGCAGTGGTGTAATTCATTACCAAAAGAATTGACAGCAATTTGTGGTTTACTGAATGTGAATTACTATGTTTACCTTTAGTTTCCCAAGCAAAGCTGGAAAAAAAAAATAGATCTTAACAACTATTACAATATTAAGTTATCACCTCTGCTTTTATGCGTTACTCCTTCCTCTATTTCAAGTTCCATGTTTCCTTGTATGTGCTGTTTTATGGAGTTTCTAAACAGGTATTACACAAACCCATAACAAAAGAGGAGTAGTAACAGAAGTGACTTTCTGCCTCTTGGATGGATAAACTTAAGAGATGAATGGTCAGCTAAAATAAAGAACGAACTTCAAGTCTTACAGAGGAAGCACTCAGGAAAGAGCTAATTTGAATATACAAGATGTATTTTTCATTATTTCCCCGTTTTCCAATTCCGGAAATTTCTCACTCAAACATCCTGTAACACAACGCAGCTACTGTAGCAGAAACCCAGGGATGAGTAACTAAAGAACAGGACTCTCATTAGTTTGGCATAAGCCATACACTGAAATAAACTACTGCAAACTTCTTTGATCTGCATTTCAATTGATAGGACAATGAGAGAATTGACATTCTGTAGTATAGGTAAGTTCTGAAACACAGCATGAATGATTTTACTGATGCACTGATGGATATGTCAACATCTGTAGGAATAGGCTGAAAAGCTGTTTCTGGATGTCTGTACCTACAGTTTACACATAGGTTACCTGTGCAGGGCCACTCAATGCTCTTAGAGCAGTGATGGAAGAACTGACTGTTCGACTTGGATGCTTTTGGAAATGACAGTCAGTATTTTCTAAAATGCATAATGATACTGTGGCTATAAATGGTAATTTAGCACTTGACTATATTTAATTGAATTAATCCCTGTTATTATTATAGGGTTTTTTTTTTCTTCCCACAAGACCAACTTATCCACTGAGCTAGACAGGTCAGACTTCCCAACAACTGTATGAAATGCATGACACATTCTGCACAGTTGCTGCTGCCAAGGCATGTACTGGAGACACTGTTGTGGGACATACCACTTAATTGTGGCTGATGCTTCTGAATTAGTCACACTTCCTTAGCACCTGTAGATGAGACGTTGTAGTAAAAGTTCGTTATTCCCTCTCAAGACAGTATATTTGATAACATGAATTTAAAAGAAGAATTGCAGTAATGAAGTGATATGAGCAGCTAAAAAAATTCTGTTATTTAGTCATTAATATGCAATTCCCATTTCAACTGGAAGGGAAAACTGGATTTTCTTTGAGCCAAATAAAAAAATATTAAGTTATAACAGTATAAAAACAGTTATCATTAAAGGTATGGAGTAAAGATTCAGATTAGTTGAAAGCCTGTAAGCACAGACAGATCTCTTATGAACACAAGAATCTCCTGCTGATGTCTCTTCTCTGTTTAACGTTGTCAAACTAGTTAAAAATTTATTCTGAAGTGTAATATTAAAAAAAAACTCATTGCAAAAGCACTTCAAGCACAAATTCATAATAAATTCTACTCGCAGGCAGATTGATTACCTGTTGATTCTCTACTATGAACTTCACAGTGTTTCTACTTTTCTTTGAACATTCCCTGCCTCAAACGCATTCACTTCCCTCAGATAAAGTAACAAGCTTCTGAAGCTCATCTCCACATAATTTCCTAGCAAAAAGACAAAAGTTGTAAGTGTACTTTATATGAAAAATATTTCACAGCATAGTTACACAAAAAAACTAATCTCCCATTTTTACAGAGAAGAATGTGTTAAATGATCCTTAAAATAGTTTTGTCCTGCAATTTCTGGCAGGAATCATGGAATATTAGTAAAACCCTACATACAGCATTTGCAAGCCTTTGAAACCTGATCTTTGTAATTTAAGCTGTTCTAATACAAATGGCTGAATATTCCTGAGTTGATTTATGGATCACTTGCTGGAGATCTAAACAAAATCAAGCAAAATCACTGCTAAGTCAGACTGGCTGATGGCTTCCTCTTCAGAGTGTGATTCTGCAGCAGAAAAGTAAGTCTTTGCATGTGTCAACAACACTGCAGCTGAAAACAGGAGAATGCTACTGCTAATGGTGTTTGCTAATGGTGTTGCCATCACTATAAAAATAATGCCCAGTAAACAAAGACCAAGACAATACATTTCTGCAGGACTGTTACTAGGACCAGCCATCCTGGAAAGATAACTTACAACACATTCAAGTTTATGAATCATTCCAAACACTGCACAGAAGTTTTAAGTAAGCAGATAATGCTAAAGGTCTACTTAGTGTGTTATCACTGAGATTGAGTGTTAAAGTTCTGATTCCTTTATGAGGAATCGGCTGTTCCATTTGCTGTATTTCAGCTACTCCTCATTTCACCTAGCTTTCCTATGGTTGCTTTGCCTTGTGATCTATCAGCTGAGGATAGCGCGTGTCTATTTTTAGCAATGACCTGTAAAACAGCAAACAAGGAAAGAAGCAATAGCTATTGAACCAGGATGCAACATGAGTGAATAAGCACTTGCCACTGACTTGCTGTCCTTGGAAAAGTCACTTGTTATTCCTATTTTCTCTATTTTTTTAGTTTTTTTTAGAAGAAAGGGACAGCTTTGTTAATTAAAGGCTTGCAAAACTTAAATGGAGTTTTCAGTCTACAGCCCCATAGATTGTGTTTAGGGTGCCAGAAAAATTAATTCAGCATTCTTCTTAGGAAACTTCAGGTTCTTCCTATCACATGTACACTTCTTAAATTACATCAGCAACCTATTTCTGGAATGTTGATGCTTTCTATCACTAAATTATCACCTGCAAGTTTAAGCTGTAATTAGAATCTCCAATGCTGAACAAGCCTAGCAACCAGTATATACACATTCCACCTTACAGACTCCTTATCACATCACCTTCTGTGTTAACCAGAACAAGGTCAGAAAACCTTCTTCTTGATCAAAAATGAGCTACTATCAAATCCAACTTGACTGATCTCCTTAGTCCAAACATCAACATTAACTGGCTAGCATTACAACTAAGCTTCTTTCTTTCTGAATTTGTGTGCTGAGATTTTAACATAGTTAAGTAGTAAAACTTTAAGCAATTACAATTCTGAGATTTTCTCTACAGGCAGATGGGCAGCACAAATGGAGGACAGTAGGAAGGACTTCCTACCCTTGAAGTTACAATCAATGTAAAAACAGATACATTGATGCCTTACTGTGGTATGCTGAAAGCCCTTGGTCTCCTCCTCTATTAACTAGGAGTTGAAGGGCGGAGGCAATACTTTAATGGTGGCACTTGATAGATGTCTCATGTTTTACAAGCTCAAGAATTAGATCAGTCAACAATAACAAACAATAAAGGAAATTCACACAACACAGGAAATAACTGACTTTCAATTAGCTACTGTATGTATGTTGTAACCATCAACTCAAAGATCACAAATTCAAAGACAGCAAAATGTAGGAAGAAACAAATCTTCCCCAAAAGCTAACAGTTAACTACTGTGACTTTTAAATCTATTCTTTTGTATTTATATAAATTGTGTCGTAATGCAAAACTATATAAAACAGAACAAAATTGTGCAACGTTTCCCAATGTTAGTGCAAATTTCAAAATACTATTTATTACTCACTGTATCAGGCATATGAATCACAAAGTAAAGTACTTTCAGGGATGGGAAACTTTACCATCCCTTCATGCATGATAGGAAAGCTACCGCCCCCATTCAAAATCTAAGCAGTAATGCTCATTGAAGATTTTGAGTTCAACTGGTACTTGAATACCTCTCTACCCTGTGCCATTTTTCTTGATCAGTTTCTGTATTCTTAGCCCACCTATGCTCTAAGAGTACAAGTATTTAACAAGCAAAATATGAAAAATACCTACAAAGCAAAGGATGCAGCCTGGGCTGTCTAAAAAATGCTGAAATAACCCTCATTACGTATTAAATTTAGAGTCCTAACTGCATAATCCCTCTACAAGTTCATTAGAAGCTCAGTGAGAAAACCGTTCACCGCTGTCTTTACAGACACTAGAAGTGAAATTTCATCTTCACACAGAAGAATATAGAAAACAATAAATCCAAGACTATTGTGTACACTGAAAAGCTCAAAAACATTATTTAGCCTCTTGATATGAATAAGTAGTTTAGACTTTTAAGACATTAAAACAGAAATCTCAAAAAAATGAATAGTGAAAATATTGCCTATAAATTGCTAAATGGTCAAGGGGATTTGTGACCAAATCACTGAAAACTCTTGCTTGTTATTGAACATGAAAGGAACACAAGTAGTACAGGCTTAGTTAAAAGTTGTAACAAAATGAGAAGCTTTCATGCACAGTTAAAAATTTCAGCAGAACTTTGCATTCAGTACTTTTCTACAGAAACTATAAACCTCCAACACTAGGAATCACTGAATATATAGCATCAATAACCCAAATCCATTGACATCCCCATATTCGGTCATAATTCACCAGTATTCTTCACTTTTTCTACTTCTTTGAGCCACTTTTGTAATGACAGTCATTGCTCTCTTCATTTCCCATTTGTGGTCAAGATGAAAAAGGTTCCCAGTTACACACTACTCCATACACCTACAGACTCCTACTGTTATCTTGGGAGCCTCTGCATTGGTTCTGTAAAGGCTATTGGTCTACAGCACTTAAAAAAAAAAACAGTGAATCATTTTCTTTTTTTCAGTTAATGTTCAAGACATTAAATAAATTTATCTAGAGAGCAGTGCTCTTATATTTTACATACTGAATATTTTCCCTGGTATGTTGCTGCAGTAAGATACAAACATTTTATTCAAGGAAACAAAAATAAAAATCAGCCCAGGAGACACTGCATTCCTGTTAACCAGTAGATAAGACAGTTACTATCTACTGAAACTGATAAGAGGTAGAATTGCTTCCGTTAAAGCCAATTCATAATGCAAATTATCTCAACTACATACTAAGATATCTAACCAGAAAAAAGCCATAGATCTTCAAGATTTACATCATAACAGCAATAGTGCTCTAAAACAGAATGCAAATTAAGCTTTAGCCTTCCCATTAGTTTCATCATACGAACATGACACGAGACAGCAGCTTAGAACACAGACCTGAAATTGTAATAATGCAGTAGTGACTAGCAGCCTAGCTAGGAGAATGAACTGAAGCTCCCTGAAATCACTTTTCCTTCTGCATCAGAAGTTACAGGAGGAAAAGACTTTCAGAGCTCCAAAGAGAGCTGAATGCCTGTCACATATGCTTCCAACTATACTTAAAGAAATACAATTCTCTGTTAGTACTGCTTTGGTTATTGTTTTCTAAATCCTGTAGATAGCACCTGAAAAACCATTTTATTCACTCAGCCTCCCAGAGGAGAGGATGGAGAAAACAGAGCCAGTACAGCCTGTCAACACCATCAAAAAAGAACAGAATAATCATGTGTCAAAACAATAAAGGGAAAAAGAAACAAGTTGCAGCATGGAAGAGTGTGGCTAAAAAGACAATTTTAATAGCATGTCATCTTAAAGTAAGATTTTATATACAAATAATACATATTAAACAAATTTATATTGCGAAGGCTGCAGTTAAGAAAATTATTTTTCCCAACTGTTTATACAACACTGAATGAATTGGTGACTTGGATTTCAGACCAAAAATAAGATAAAGCCCACCTTTATACAGGTGCTTGCATTAATGGTAAACTACAACAGACTGCCCAGTGTTCAGCCATTTCAAGTTTTCAAAAGAAAAATGCTATTTTGTTTTACCCAACCATAAATATAACAATTTTATTCAAAACTCTGTTGATGTTTTACCATGCTGTCATTACCTTGCATTTATTAACCACTTTATTATATTATATTATTTTAGACTGCAAGGTTTTCAGAGCATACAATAGAAGAGATTCAGTGGTTATACAGACCTGTGTATTTTGGGAATCTGTGAAAGAGCATTCCAGTCACACGCACTAAAATGCAAACCACACACATCACTATTTGGTCTGTTATTTTTTTCAAGTGCTGTAAATACACAGTAACATAGTACTAAGTTCAGGTTAAGTGGCACATCCAACAGCAGCAGGTCACTAATATGCTCCTGGAGAAAATGCAAAGTTTGTCCATTCTGGATAGGATTGTGACCAAGTTAATTGTAAATCTCATAGGGCTCTTATCACTTGTTAAGTTTATTTTCCTGTTTGAACAGGAAGCCATCTAGCTAATAATACCTCGATTTTATTCAAATCATTTCTTATCACAGTAATCTTCCAGAAGCAATGATGATCTTCCAAAAGACAGCAGCTTTAGATTCACAAGTTTATGTTCCTTATACTTTCCAAGACCTCATCATGGAACCAGCTTTCAGTGAACACACTAGAGTTTTGCAAAGCACAGAACAAACGCTTGTAGTCTTCTGGGTATACGTTACCCGTTTCGATGTATTCTGGAATTTCTAGAGCTTTCAATAATTTGTCAGCATTGTCCAAGCTCCATGAGCTGAAACAAACAAAGCAAAAGATGATCACAAAGAAGCACTTATTCCTGTGAAAAATTAAAGAGCAAGAAGCAGTATCTGAAGATCAATTTCATCCTTCCACAGCTTTGAGAAGTTAACAATTTCTTCCCATAAAACATGTTATTACACAAGTTATTTTCAATTCATACTGCAAACAGAAAGAAACTCCTGCTAAGACAACACGCAAATAACAAATAAAGCACCCAGCAGACAGAATAACAAACAACAACCTATGTCTATCTCAATCTGCCTAAATCAGTAACAGGCATTACAGAAAAAAAAGGGGGTTACACTTCCATGTCTGGGAAATGAAAGCCAAGGTCATTTTCAAGGAAGTGCCTTGGTATAGCATGATCTAATGTGGCTTACACCTCCCAGGTATTTTCTTCTATATATAAACAGATCTATAAACTGTTTCTACATCATTTATATGAAAACGAGACCTTTTCTAAAATGTGCATACACATTAATTATTTCCCAGACAATAAAAGGTATCTAAATATACAGAAGATGCACATTAAAAGCCTTCAAGGTTAGCTTCATTTCCTGGCTGAAAAACATCGGGGAGAGCAGGTACATCATTGAGCTTTAAGAAGGAAATCCATTATGGCTTTTTGCACTTGTCTTTGCTAAATGAGTTTACTGGAATTTACTAACTTTTTTGTTTATCCTCCACAAGACCTATCTAGAAACTTACATCCATAAACCCCTACTAACAAGTGAGACATGTTATTTTCATCAGCAGATGAACTCAATACTTTAGAGAGTGCAAACATGTCTCACTTATGGGAACAGAAATCTAGTGACCGTAGAGCAAAGCTCCAGTGTTGTATCAAAGGGAATAATTAGAGAGCTGCATAATTGGTAAAGAGCCCTAAAAACTGATTTTTGAATTCAGTGACAGAAAGCCATTTGAGGACATCCCTACTCAACCTTCAGTAACCTTCAGCTAATTTCATTATAAGAAATACCAAAGCAATGCTAATCTAAACATCTTCTTCAGCATTTTAATTTTTATACTTGCAAAATCTTGGTGTTTTTTTTTTTTTTTTTTTTTTTTGTCTAAACAGAATGAAAATTTCTTGCACATCTATGAGTTCACTGACATTTGAAGAACAGATGCTTAATGCAAATCTGTACTCTATGTACTTGTCTGTCTTCTTGCCAAGCCTCAAAATTGTGAGCAAAGACTGGGAATAGTACCCAGAATAGTGTATTTGGGCCTGGAAAGATGAAATTTTCTAATCTGTGTATAGATAATTAATAAAGAGGTTCTATTTCAGCCACAAATTTTTAAAAAAAAAAGTGTATAGAAACTGTATTTCTTCCATACTTACTTTAATCTATCAGTAAGTTTAGACCTGGGTTTAGTAAGACACTGCTTCACCATGAAAATAAAGGTAGCTGAATTAGCAGGCTTCAAGCCCCCTGTAAATAGGTTTTGCTGGGGAGTCAGTCGTACCAAACACAAATGGTCATTTGGCAGCCTCTGCAAGAAAAATGAAACAAGCCACTGAAAATAACTCACTTTTAAGACAACATCCATCTTTATCTTAGATAAAGTGCTTCATCTGTACCAGCAGTAACATTTCTGAAAGACTTTTACAAGTCATAACAAGGTAGTTCCACTGGATGCCAAAGCTATAATGTTTCATTGTGTAACTAAAATAGCTTTACAAGAAAGGAAATGAAAAATCAGATAAGCTATGACTTAAGAAATAACGACTTAATTTTCTTAGTGGAAACAGACAACACTTCTGATGCACCTGCATGCCACATGTGACTTTTAACTAGAACACTTGTTAAAAAAAATACACTCTTTGCAATCAAAAGAGATCTGTGTGATCTGTCATAAAGTTATTTTTAACCTATATCAAAGTGGTTTAGCTGGGTCTCTAGAAGAAGAAAAAGCAATACAATGCTCTTACCGTGCTCTTTGGAATTGCCAGTCGCCCATTTTTCAGATTAGTTAGAAATGATGACCAAGGTTCCTTAGAGAGGGAGCAAATACATTACAGAATTAAAGTGCTTTGCGACAATGTAGAAAAACATTTATCATCAATACTATCAAATTAGAAATTTACTTCATTTTAAACTTTATTCTACAACTTCACTCCAGAATCAGCTTTAAGCACATTCAAGGAAGACAGTGTAAGAGCAGTGCGTGCCTATACAATAGGTCCTTAAGCTCCCCAACACATTTGATAAGGTATGGTACTTCTCAACTAACAGGAGAAGCAAGCCTTCATTTCATGAGAAGCAGAGAAACAGAAAATATTATTTCTACTGAAAACTGCTCAGGAATGCAAAAGCATGCATGAAGTCAAAATACAGAGGGCATGAAGAGCAGACTGTGAGACTGGAAGAGCAGTCTGAGTCTCACACAACACCCAGCAGGGCTGAAAAGACTCTTCTATATCCCAGTCTTCAGTAGTCTCAGACTAATCTAAAAGCCAAATTAGCTTCCAATGACTTTACAATAGCAAAAACAGTATAAATTCCTTTCTGTATACACAATTACAGCATTAAAACATGTTCAGTCAGTACAAAAAATTTACCATGTGCAGTAGCTGAATGTCACATCCCACTTGCCAAAGCACAGAAAGTGCTTGGTAAATTCTCAGTTCCCCAGGCTTTGCTGTTAATACCTAACAAAACAACAAAGCAAGAGCATTTTAATTTCAAAAAACGAGATTGCTTCTTCATCTAAGAAAGATCCTTATAATTTTAACAAGTGGCAAGAACTTCAGAGTTAAATCTAAAATTTCAAAGTGAAGTCACTTTAGGCCTCAAATCTGTGCTATTTTAGTATGTCCTACTAGAAAGCACAATTAGAAAACATTCTGGCAGTCTTTCTTTGCAGTAATTGTTTGGATAACTGAACTGTGTAGGAATTTCCAGCTTGTACTGTACAAGGCACAGACAAGTTTCTCACAGAGGAGAAACAGGGGTCATATTTTGTTTTAAAACTGCAATGGAGGTGACGTTTACAGCTTGAGTTCATTCACAGTGGTAGGAGAATATTCCCAATAGGATACACAGTAAGCCAAGCTGACCATTAAGCAGCTTGCAGTCATCCTCTTGATATTACAGCAGCACAGATTTGACAACTCTTACATGTTAAAAAAAAAAAAAAACAACACAAAATCAAAAAGAAAACTCTCATGGTTATGTTCAGATAAACCAAAGAAAAAAGTCATAACAAAGAGATTTAACTTCTCATGAAATATTTAGAGAGCTCTGACACATAAACAACCAAAAAAAAAAAAAAAGAGAGAACCAAAGGAGCCCACTAAAAGAAGGTTCTCACTGCTCTTACTTCGGTTCTCAAAACTCATTTAAGAAACTCAAAATTCTTTGCTCAGGTGTGTGGCCATTAGAAAGATAACAGGTTGGTATTTCAGCAGTATCCAATCTGTCATTTTGCAGATAAATATACTCAAGACCTTAATTTTTTTTCCAGTAGGGTGTTAAACAGAATACTGCCTACACACCTCAGAGTCTTTCCTTACCCCAAGTAATCAAAGTTTAGTGCTTTATGAACCTGTTTCATAAAAAGAAAAAAGTAGCCTTGAACTAGAAGTACAGTTCTGAAAGACTGGGACAACACAAATTATGAACACATAACCCAGAAAGCTACTCTCCATTTTAGAATATGCAAATAAGAAGGTGTATAAATAAAAAGGTGTGCAAATCATTCACATTTTGCCTCAAACTGCCACATTTTGCAGTACTGCATGCAAAGCTGGCTCAAGAGGACAGGAAATTCAGCTTGCTATTTAGGAATTCTGTATCCTCTTCAAGAGGCCTTTTGAATTCCCTCTTCATTGACTATTAGCTGCTACTTGCAAAAAATCTTGTTGCAAAAGTAACACAGACTGTCAGCACCTCAGAAGCTACAACAAAAAGAAACCCTGTTGCTGCTGCATATCCTTCACAAGGACCAACCTTCACATTTGAAGGATTTATGGTTAAGTGACAACAGACCTTTCCTTTTTTTTTTTTTTGCTTATAAATTCATAAAGAGAACAAGCAGGAAATAGACAAGATTTAAAAAATTCTGGCAGAAAAAGAATTCCCTAGCAGAAAGGTTGACTACGCAATGTTTTGGTGTTCTCTGAAGCACCGCTTATTCTCTACTACCATTAAAATCTCTTGCACATACCTTGTACTCTTTTTCACTTATAAAGATGTTGAGTTCTACTCTTCCATATCTGTATATGGAACTGCATTCATACAGGATAAAAAGTAGCCTCCAAAGCGTGTTCCTCTCCTTTCTTTGTGGAAAGATTCCAAAAATTTTCACAGGTACATCTGTTTCAATAGTGTGTAAAAGTGTCTTTAAAATTTTACAATAGGTACAGGACAATCTCATTAATACTAATGTGTATGTTACAACACAACTAGGAAAGATCTGTCTGCTCACTTCATTCAAGAACGAATAAAACTCAAGCTTTATTCAAAGCTAAGCCCTGTGGGCATTAGACTAAATCTTCATCGTGACAACTAAGTGAGACTTCATCTTGCCATTTTTTGAAGCTACAAAGAACATAACTAAATAAAACTGAAAATTAGGAAATGAGCAAACAACATCCACAAATCCAACAAGTATATTAAAACAGGACAGGTACTTCAAGCAAGTCCCAAAGATCTTGCCAAAATGCCTACACACCTTTCAAATGTATTTGTAATGTGATCGTATACACCTACCTGCTCTCCAAGGAACTGCTGCTATACCCATGGCTTCAAAAAGTTTGTCAGAACACACAGCAGGTGGTTTCACTGCTCCAGTAACCAAAGGATCCAGTCTGAAGAAATCACCGTAAATTACCTTTAACTGTCCATCCAGGCTATTCTCTAAGGACTAAACCAAATTAAGTTTCAGTTGAAGAAAACTGAATGCAGTAAGCTGCCTTACCAAACACTCAGCTCAGACAAAAAATTACTCATGCATTACAAAAAATAAATATGCAGTGAGAAAGAGTCGGGTCTCAGAGCTGCTTCTTATAACTGACAGGCAGAAAAACCTCCTTTATTACGCAAGGCATTTTTGTGCTGTTCAACTAGAGCTTTAAAACCCTCCCCAGACGAGTAATAAGTATTAATCTGCACGAACCACTACATTTAAGTGATTTACAACTGAAATCTTCATATATGAAGAGAATCATGCATAAAATATGACTTTAGTGCACATTTTAAAACAGGTGAGAGTCTTAACTTCCTCATTTCTATTGTAACACAATCCATGCAGTGCAAATTCTAAGGCTCTGTGTCTGAGAACATTTGAAACCATGCAATGCCAAAGTGAAGAGGCAATAGTTGTCAAAGCTCCAGTATTGCCAGCCAACAGCAGGACAACAGATTAAATAATACTGTGAGATAATAACCAACACTATGTTCATAAATTTTTGAAAGCTACATGCAGACATTCTGCCTAAGCAAACAATGCTACAATGATTTTGTAGCTTCTACTTTATATATGGAACAGGGAGACAATAAACTCGAATGTGTACACACATGCACAAGATGTCAGAAGAACAGGTTATAAAACAGACTGTTACTAAACATGCAGTATAAAACCAAACAATACTTAATAATACTCAGCATCATCTCAGATGTTTCAAGAATGATTACTAGCTAGTTCCTTTTTGATCCAACAGTTACTATGCATTTCTTAGTTCATGTCTTACTTCCCTCTCAGGTCTTAGATATAGGATACCGTATCAGACACATACCTGTAGTTTTGAAAGGAAAACTGGGTGACTTTCTAGAGCCACCACTCTGACACCTGCATTGAGCAGAGTCCGGGTCAAGACTCCAGGACCTGAAAGGACAAAAAAAACAAAACAAAACAAAAAAACAAAAAACACCCCACATTATTTTTTGAAGTGATTTTCCTTGTGTTTTTCTCAACACAGCCCCTGGATCATGTCACCATAAGGAGATACTCACATTGCCTAAGTGTGCTTCAAAATAGTTAGAAAACACATTTGCACACAGCCTTGCTCTAATTACTCACTGCATTACATTGAGGGAACATCAGGCCTATCTCAAGTTTTCCTGCTGCTTTTTCTTTTGCCAACTGAGACACATTTTGAAACCTCACGCACATTATCCACACAGGCAGAAGAGAATCATACAATCGTAAGGGTTGGAAGGGACCTCTGAAGGCCATCTAGTCCAACTCCCCTGCAACGAACAGGGACACCACAAAACTCTGTGGAGCTCGTCACGCCCCTCCCGTAAGGGGAAGAAAGGGCTGACCAAATTTAAAAGAGTAAAAGCATTAGGCAACTGCAGAGGGTGAGATCTGCGAAGGGCTCGCAGTCTGTGGCTGTGCAGAGGCAGCGTCAGCCCACAAGATCTGCCGCATCACCCAAAGAACGAATTCAATCCCTACTCCATAGCGAAGTGTTTAGCGGCAGCGACTCGAGCCCCAAGCAAACACTCACGCTCCCCCCGAAGCTCTGTACCACCCAAACGCCACATCCGCACCGCACGAGCAGCCCGGCCTCCCCCGCCGCCCGCCAGAGGACCGCAGACGGGAACCGGGCAGGGAGCGGCGGGGCCCCGCAACCCTTCCGCGGCCCGCACCGACCCCGCAAGGTCACCGGGACGCGCCGAGCCCCAGCGGCGGCTCGGGTGGGAGCGGCGGGCGGCTTACCGGGCGCGCACTCCAGCACGACGGGCTGCGGGCCGGAGCCGGCCTGCAGGCAGCGCTGCACGGTGCGCGCCAGCTGCGGACGGGCGATGAAGCGGCCGCAGGGGCCGCCGGCCCGCAGGACCTGCTGCTCCACCTCGGCCGCCTGCGGCACACTCAGGCCCGGGCTCGGCCACCGCCCCGCGGCCCGCCGCGCCGTCGCCCAGCACGGCCCCGGCCCGCCCAGCAGCGGCCGCAGCCCCGCCGCGAGGAGGCGGCCGCAGCCCGCGGCGCCCGGCACAGCCCGGCCCGCCCGCATGGCGCCCCGCCGCCGCCGCCCGCGCTCCGAGCCCCGGCCGCGATCTCCGCGGCAACGGGGAGCGTCACTTCCGCCTCGGGCCGGCCTCTCTAGCGCCCTTCCGCTCTATCGTCGGCGAGAGGTCCTCCTGGCCGCCGTCGTCTCTACGGTGGCAGCCCCGCGCGGCCGGCAGCTGCGGAGCGAAACGGAGAGAGAGAGAGAGAAGGAGGACCGCCGGCTCCACCGACACACGTACGCACAGCGCGCTATGCCGAGCGCCCGCTCCTCGCCGCCCTCAGCGGGCGCCTGAGCCACAGCCGAGACGAGGTGAGCTGGGGGGGCTCGTCCCCGGGAGGAGGAGCAGACAGACAGACAGACAGACAGCCCGGGAGCAGCGAAGGGCGAGCGTCGCCGAGGGCGGGGGGAAGCCGCCGTCTCGCCCCGCGCGGCGCCCGGCGGGCGGAGGCGGCGCGGGAGCCACCGCGGAGTCCCGCACGGCCACCCGGCGCCGGGAGGGGAAGCGGGGAGGCCGCCGCCGGGCGTGCGGGGGGTGCCCGGGGCCCAGCGGAGCCCCGCGCCTCCCCCGGAACGGTGCCGGGCAGGGCGGCCCCGCCGGCTGCAGGATCGCTGTGGCCCGTTCCCAGTGGGCGGCTGTGGTCGGGGAGCTGCTGCAGCCCGCCGCGCTGGAGCGGTGTGTGTGTGTGTGTCTGTGTCTGTGTGTGTCCCAGGAGCTGCGTCTTTCGCTTGAGCTCGCCTCGGCGTTCCGACGAGGTTGATCCCCGCGGCCGCAGCTGAGCGGTCGGCCCGGATCCCGCAGCAGGTGCTCCGAGGCGCTGCTGAGGACGGGCCCGGAGCGGCCTCCCCGCTCGCTGTCCGCGCTCTGGGCAGCAGCGGAGCTGGTAATCCGGAAGCAGCGGTGCTGTCCTTCGCCGGTTTCCCAAATGCTTTCCTAAAAATGTGTGCGTGTTGAGTGGTACTCATCGCATCCTGCCTTCACCTGTGGGCAGGTGGATGACCGCACGAGACACGGAGCTCTGGAGAGAGACACACTGCATGTGGGTCGTGCAGGAGGTGACAGGGATCTGCGACCACAGAACAGAGCAGTCTTCAGATCAGTGGTTCACAAATAGACATGCTGTGCGTTGTGTGCAAGTTCTCCGTCTTCACACAATCACAGAATGGCCCAGGTTGGAAGGGACCACAAGGATCATGAATCTTCAACCCTCCTGCCACACTCAGGGCCACCAACCTCCACATTTAACACTAGACCAGGCTGCCTAGGGATTGTCTTCACAGATCTCGTTTCCCTATTCATAAAATAAGAAATGGACACTCATCCACTTACTGAACAAAGCGTCATTCTGTTTGACATATCTCCTCTCCACAGAGCTTGGGACACAGAAATGTGGTTTTCCTATCTCCTGTCTGCCAGATGTGTGCCAAGAAACTGGGCTGAGATGGGTGAAGCCTGCAGACCCTTTGCTGACTGCAGTACTTCTTCCAGTCTGCGGTTTACTGTACTCTGCTGTTTGTACTGAGTACTATTTAATAGTTTTCCTTAAGGGAAATGGACGGGATGATGGGATAGACTTCGATCCATTTTTAAACTGGACTTTGTGTTTTAAATAGCTTTTTTTCCTCTCTTACTAATTAGTCTGTTAATTCTATAATTTGTAGGTCTTTCAGAACATCAAAGGGAACTTGGTTTTCCTAGACAATGTGGTTAGTAATGGCCTAATTCAGCATTTCTTGTTGAAGTTTCATGGTAAGCTATGGCTTACTGTAGCTACTATACCATCATTTTCTATGCCATAGCTTCGGAGACTAAATAAAGAATTTTGGAAATATTGACAATTATTTGGAATATTGACAATTAGCTGTCCCTTTGTACATATTACTTGTGAGACCACACCTTGGATGTTGTGTTTGGTCCTACAGAAGGGACACTGAGTTGCTCAAGTGTGCGCAGAGAGTAGTGAGGAAGGGATGAGAAAACAAGACCAACAAGGAGCAGCAAAACGAACTGGGGCTGTTTAAATCTGAAGACTTCACAGCCCCCTACAGCTGTCTGAAAGGAGGTCACAGTGAGGAGGGTGCTGGTCTCATTCCTTGGGTGACAAATGATAGGGCATGAGTCAGTGACCTCAGGTTGCACCAGGGGAGGGTTAGACTGCGTATCAGGAAGAATGTCTTCAAAGATAGAGTGGCCAGGCATTAGAAAAGACTGCCCAGGGAGGTGCAGGAGTCCCCATCCCTGGAGGTATTTAAGAGATGAGTGGACGTGACACTGAGGGTCCTGGTTTGGGATTCAATAAGTCAGGCTGATGACTGGACTTGATGACTTCGAAGGTCTTTTCCAACATAGATGTTTTTATGATTCAAATCACCTGGGAGCATTAGGGTCTTCTTCGTATGGGCTGGTCAGAATCATTGAGGTTGTTCTCAACTGTTTGCTCAGTGAGGCCCAAACTATGCCCTGACATTCTTCGCACACTAGAAACTATTTGTTTTTCTCCATATTTTCATTTAACTTAGCATATTACTTGCCTACATTTAACCACAGATTGCTACATTATACATTTATGATTGTCTTTTTTTTTTTCCCCTGATAAAGGAGTCTACCCTATTTAAATATACCAAATCTTGCATGCATAGAGGACTACATGACTACCTTTTTCTGACCTAGTTGTCACCCTTGAAAAAACACTGAATCCTTAGGAAAATGGTAAGCTTTGTACATCCCTTGTTTAGAATTACAATGCAGAAAGTAGTTTAATACGCTAATGTATATCCCACAGACATTTGAACAATCAAGTTGGGGTTATTTGTAAGTTAACAGCTGATCACATGGCTTATATTTTCTAATCTAGTTATTACCACAAACAAATATTTGAATTTATGGACTTACGTCATAGGGCCACATGTCTTTGTAATTTCAGATTATTGTTGGTTGCTCTGAAATTGTTTCCTCCCAATTATTGTTTTTTGAAATAGAGAACAAATAAGAAGCATTCCAGCCTGTTTCAACCTTAAGAGCTCATTACTTGTGTGGGTCAAGAGGATCAGTAAACGGATGCTCTTCTTCTCAGTGGTTCTAAATGTCTTTTGCATTTACTTTCGTCTCCAAGCAAGGTTTTTTGTTAATTTGTTTGTTTTAGTTTTAAAGAGTTAGTCTCTTAGTGTTATTTTGCTATGTCAATATTTAGTACTCAACAACAGTAAATATTGACAAGCACTTCTGAAGGGGAGAATTGCCTTAGTATAAACATATTGATCTCAGGCTTTTCAAACTCTTATGCCCACACTGTATGTACAAATTCAGTAGAACTTCTGTCTTGTACTACAATAATACATACATTAAGGAAGTTTGCATGATCATACTTTTTCTTATCTTGGTAGTGATACTCATCATTTGACTCTCCTTGGCTCAGAATACAAATTGTTTGCTAGCTTTATTTCAGAAATTTTCTGGTTTATTCATCATAACACATTTTGTCATTGCATAATTGTAAGATGTAATCCTAATCATATTAGCTTCAGTAGTGTGAAAAGAAAATAACTTGCTGTGTGCTTGAATTGACAGAAATAACTCTGTGCCTTACTGAGATGCAGAGTGTCACAGAATTATTGTTTTCATTTGCACTTTACCTGGTCTGTTTCATTAATCTTGTTGTAGTAACTCTGATGGTGACCAAGGAAAATGATAGATGAGTGGTAAGAGATATCTTCAGAAGTGCTGCAATCATCTGCACTCATCAAATGGCAAAATAGTATCCAAATTTTGGAAATAGGCCATAGGAATATATATATTTTTAAATTGTTGTGTAGTCTCATTATTTTGTCTTGTTCCCTTGACATCACCACCTCTCCATTGCAATACCATACACGCACCAAAAAAGGTCCCAGGAGATGCAGTAGAATTTAATTCTGTGCCACAATTTGGTTTAAGATACAACCAACAGGTAACAAACTTTGTGTTGGAAATCTTCCAATTAAATGAAAATTTGTTCCTTATAATGAGCTCAGTAATTTTACATTTGGAGCCACTATGCTTTATAAAGCTTGACTTACTGCTATTTTACGTGTAATCTGTTGACAGTGGAAAAACAGCTGGGCTCTTGGATTTGAGGGATTCAGTTTTGGGTTGGATTTTTTTTTTTTTTTTTGCTGTTTAGCCAAATTATTAGTAGTAAGAGAAGCAAGAGTCCAAGGTTCCTTAGAAACTTGCCTGCTACATGTGACAGTGTAGCTTCCAGCTTGTAATGCTGCATAGCATTACAAACAGATAAAACCTGATTAATGGGGAATTACTGACCTTTAAAATGAGCTAGATCAACTATGCAGATCACTAGAGAGTTCCTAGATACTAATTAAGTGAAGCAATTAAGTTATTCTGAGCACTAGGTGCACACTCATGTCTGTGACCATAAACTTACTTGAAAAAGCTCTGTTAAATCACTTTTCTTTGGTATTTTTCTATTGGAATAACACCCTATTTAATAATTGTTTTCATATCCGGTTCGGTTTGACTTTTCAGCCTGTCAAATAGTGCAGTTCACAGCAAAGTTCACAGCTGACAACAGAGCCATTCAGCACAAAAATAAACATTTTTAAAGGAGCTGATGGCTTGAATTGTGTCCCTGCAGATGTTAATAACAGCATCCACATCATATTTTGCCTTATAATGAACACTAAGCAGCAGTATTTTTAACATTTGCAGTGGCACGGCAAAGGGTTCTGTGGTGTGAAGACTGTTGCATAAGCTGTGTATTGTATGGCATTCTGGCAGGGGTACAACTTTTCTCGCTCTGTGCTATATCTGTTCTCTGTATACAGAGAAACTCAGTCCCTAGGGCTATCAATCTGGCATCTTTCATCTGCATTAAGTTTACTGCAAATAGTTTTTGTGTGCATGCAAAAAAAAAAAAAGCTCTAAAAACCTTTGCAGACAGAAATAAAACCTTCAAATAAGTGCATCTACTGTTTATTTATCTCAAAATTCCTTGTCATTGAATCCTATATGTACACATCAACATATTCTGCACTCTCAGATTCACCAGACCTGGTTTGTGCATATATATTCTCATAAGTCTTTAGTTTGAATACTGTGACAATGCTGTCTTGCTCAGGAGTTTGTCATGCTAAAGCTTTATTTTTAATCCTTTATTATTTATCTTTTTATTGTAGAACTGTAACATCTTTGAAAATGCTTTGCTAACTTATAAACAAGTATACAGAAGAAATGATGTAGTTGTTAAATATTTCTATAGACAAATTTGGTATGTTACATACTTGGTTTTTAGGAACAAAATTTCTTAGGAATATTTTTTTCTGCTGTTGTTTCAATACACTGCTTCCTCTCTCCAAACAGAATGACTACCACATAAGCTTATAATGTGAGCTTTAACACTACTTCTCACTATCTGTGGGGCAGATTTTCTTTTTATGAAAAATATTACACTGTAGGGAAAATTGAGATTGATTCACAATGCTTTTGGCATTAAAAATAAAATATGGTATATATGTGCAATTACAGCATCTGTTAGAAAAATTTTTAGGCTTATTTGAGGAATGTCATTGAAATTGAAAGTGTACATTTTGGAAGTTCTTTCTTAATGGTTTTAGAATCATAGGATTGTGTGCTTTACTTTTGCTTTTAACACTTCAAAGGAAATTAATTTTTCCCAAGGCAGTAACAGCTGCACATGTTTGTATAGACTTCTAAAATTGCAGCAATGAGAGTTCTCCATCTTCCTACTGTGTTCCACCACCTTGATACCCCTAATATGTTTGGGTGTTTTGCTGCAGGCAAGATAAAATTAACACATCAAATCACAGAATCATAGGGGTTGGAAGGGACCTCTGGATATCATCGAGTCCAACACACCTGTTAAACAGATTCCTTACAGTAGGTTATGCCCTTTAGATATTTGTAAGCACTGATAAGACCTCCTCTCAGTCATCTCCAGACTGAACAGTTCCAGGTTTCTCAGCCTTTTTTCATAAGGGAGATGCTTCAAGTCCCTAGTCACCGTTCTAGCTAATGGTGAGGTCCCACCTTATTCTCATGCATAAATAAAGCCTAGTAAAACCTGACATCCAACACTTTTAACACACTGAAGGGGATGATTTTCTCTCTCAAGTACTGAAGAAGCTTGTTTGTATGAAAGAGTTTGGATGAAAATCTCACGTGTTCTAATAACATATTATTTGTTCCCAGACAAACCTCTTGTATTTGGCTGGTGACTGAGACATACTCTTGTAGTAATAGTACATTTGGAAGAGTAGATTATGCCTAGCAGCATATGTTTATCATTGTTTACCAAAACTGTGAATAAGCAGTATGACGGGGAAGCTTAGAAGTTGAAAATAGCATGTAGAACTTCCTCTCAAAACCTCATCATCCCAGCTCTTTTAAACTGTAAAGATCATAGAGCGGCTTAGGTTGGAAGAAACTAAAGATCATCTAGTTCCAACCTCCTTGCCATGGGCAGGACTGCCACCCACCAGATCAAGCTGCCCGGGGCACCATCCAGCCTGGCCTCGAATGCTTCTGGGTAGCTTCTATAGGCATCCTGTTCCAGTGCCTCACCACCCTCTGAGTAAAAAGTTTCTACCTAAAATCTAAGCTGATCTCCCTTCTTTTACTTTGGAAAAGCTTCCCCTTGTCTTATCACCAAGAGATAGTGTAAGAAGTCCACCTTCCTCTTGTTTATAAGGTCTCTTCAAGTACTGGGAGGCCACAATGAGGTCTCCCTGGAGCCTTTTCTTCCAGCTCCAGATGCAGTACTCCAGTTAGGAAACAGAGTAGAGGAGGACAGTCATCTCCCTCTTTCTCTGCTGGCCATCTTTTGATGCAGTCCATGATACTATTGGACTTCCAGGCTGCAAGAGTACATTGCTGGCTCATGTCCAGATTTTCATCCACCAGGACCCCCAACTTCTTCACAGTGCTGCTCTCAATGAGTTCTTCTCAGTCTGCAGAGATACCCAAGATTGCCTCAACCCTGGTACAGTATCTTGCACTTGGCCTTTTTAAGTCTCATTAGGTTCATGTTTGCCCACTTTTCAATCCTGTCCAGGTCTCTCCAGATGACATCCCTTCTTTCTATTGTATCAACTGTATCACTCAGCTTGGTGTTATCACAAGCTTGCCTATGATGCACTCAGTCCCACTGAGTGTGTCATTGATAAAGATGTTAAAGAGCACCATACCCAAGACAGACTCCTGAGGAGCACCACTTGTCACTGACTTCTACCTGGATCCATTGATCACAGCCCTCTTGCTGTGACCATCCTAACAGCGCTGAATAACCTCCCCCCTTCCCTACACTATGTATTTCTATTTTAGAGATGAGGATGCAGTGTGGAACCACATCAGAAGTCCAGGTAGACATCAGTTGCTCTTCCTTTGTCTACCAGTGCTGTCACTCCATTACAGAAGGCCACAGATTGGTCAGACATGATCTTCCCTTGATGTAGCTGTGCTGGCTGTCTTAGATCCCCTTCTCACTGAGCATATACCTTAGCCTAGTTTCCAGGAGGATCTGCTCTATAATCTTCTCAGGTACAGACATGAGGATCATCAGCCTAAAGTATCACTTCAATGTCAGAATGTACCAAGCTGCTCATGCTCAGGCATTTTGTAAATTCAGATATTAGATAAGCCACTCCTGCTTTTGTGTACAACTTGGAGAATACTGGAATTAGCATGTTTGAAGAGTG